GAATTCTTGATATCAGCTATTCTTTCTGGGGAGAGGTAGAATCTCAGTGTTGTTTTCATCTGCATCTCTCAAATGCCCAGTGATGTTCAACATTTTTTCATATATTTATTTGTTGCTTTTACTTCTTTTTCTGAGAAATTTCTGTTCATTTCAGATGCCCATTTTTGAATTGGGTCTTCGTATTTCTGATGTTTTTTTTTTTGTTTTTTTTTTTTTAGTTCTTTACATATTCTAGATAGTAGTCTTTTGTCTGAGGAGTAGCTGGCAAAAAATTTTTTCCCACATTGTAGGTTGTCTTTTAGCTCTCTTGTTGGTTTCTCTTGCACTGCAAAAACTTTTTAATACAATGAGATCCCAGTTGTTGATTCTTTGTGCAAGTTCTTATGCTGCTGAGTATTTGTTCATGAAGTCTTCTACTATCATTCGTCCAGTGAGGATGGTTGACTCCTTTGTCAAGGATGAGGTAGCTGATTATGTATGGTATTGTTCCCTTTCAATTTCACTGAAGAATTTAAAGAGTAGTGGCAATAGTTCTTCTCTATATGTCTTGTAGAATTCAGCAGTGAAGACATCAGGACCTGGGTTTTTCTTTGTTGGTAAATTTATAATTACATTTTCAATTTCACTGAATGTAATTGGGGTGTTTAGACTTTCTGTATCTTCTTCACTCAACTTTGGAAGTTCATGTGTATCTAGGAATTTTTCCATTTCTTCTGTATTTTCCATTTTATTAGAGTATATGTTTTCAAGTATGTATTGATTATCCTCTGCATTTCTGCTGGATCTGTTGTGACTTCACCTTTTTCATTCCTAATTGCATGAATTTGAGTCTTTTCTTTCATTTTTTTATAAGGTTGGCTAAGGGTTTTATTTATTCTTTCAAAAGACCAACTCTTTGATTCATTGAATTTTTTTATTGTTCTCTCAGTATCCATTGCATTAATTTCTGCTCTGATCTTTATAATTTCCTGACTTGTATGAGCTTTCAGTTTGTCTTGCTCTTCTTTCTCTAGAAGCTTTTGGTTAAGCATTAGGTTGCTTATTGGAGCTCCCTCTTGTTTTCCTAGTATGGGCATTTACTGCTATGAATTTCCCTCATAGAACTGCTTTCATTCCTGTATGTTGTCCCATAGATTCCTGTATGTTGTACTGACATTATCATTTAATTGTAGAAACTAATTTCTTCTTTAATTTCCTCTGTGATCCAGTGGTTGGTCAGCAGGGTGTTATGTAATTTCCATATGTTTGTGAAGTTCTTACAGTTTCTTAAACTGTTGATCTCCAAATTAATTTGCACTATGGTCTGATCATATACAGGGATAACTTCAATTCCTTTGTATTTACTTAAGCATGTCCTATGAGCTAGCATGTGGTCTATTTTGGAGAATGACCTGTGTGCAGCTGAAAAGAATGTATATTCTTATTTTGTGGGTTGGAACACTCTGTACATATCTACTAAGTCCGTTTGTTTTAAGATTTGTTTCAGTTCGGTTATTTCATTGTTGATTTTTTGTCAGATTATCGAATCTGTCTATTTGTGTCAATGGAGTATTGAGGTCCCCCACTACAACTGTATTAGTGCTTATTTTATTTTTCATATCCATTAATATTTGTTTTGTATAGTTGGGGACATTAGTATTCAGTGCATATATATTTATGATTGTCATTTCTTCCTCTTCTATGTTCCCTTTGTAAGGATGTAGTGGCCTTCTCTGTTTCTCTTAATTAGTTTTGGTTTGAAATCTACTCTGTCTGCAAATAAGATACTACCCCCAATTTTTTCTGGGCTCCTATCACGTGGAGGACTGTTTTCTAACCTTTTCCTCTCATTCTATGGATTTCTTTATGGATTAAGTTGGTTTCTTTTATAAAGCATATTCTTGGATTTTGTTTCTTAATCCATTCTGCCAGCCTATTTCACTTGATTGGTGAAATGAGGCCATTAACATTGACAGTTATATAACTGTTATTATTGACTTTTCGTTATCATCTTATTTTCCTGGTTATTAGTTCTCTTGTTTTTTATTTTCCCTCTCTCCCTTTAATTTCTTGCCTTGCCTGGTATATTTGCTTTACTTGCCCTTACAGAGTAGTGGTTTTCATTTTCTTTTTCCAGGACATTATTAGAAGTGTCTGGATTTCTGGTTTGGTGTTCATGAAATTTTTCAGGTGTTCTATTTTGTGGAAGTATCTTATTTCCCCATCGATTTTGAAAGTTAGTTTGTATAGGATATATCAGTCTAGATTGGAGGTTATTGTCTTTTAGAGCTTGAAATACCTCACTCTAGGCTCTCCTTGACTTGAGCATTTGTGTTGAAAAGTCTGCTGTGATTCCGACGGGCTTTTCTTTGCATGTGATTTGTTTTCTTTCTGTAACTGCTTGCAGTATTTTGTTCTTCTGTTGGGTTTCCAGGATCTTGACTATTATAAGTCTAGGTGTAGATTTTTTTTTATCATGGTAAGTCGGAGTCCTATATGCCTCACTTATCTGTATGTCAAATTCTTCCCCTTGTTTGGGAAGTTTTCTTTCATTAATTCTGTGAAAAGTTTTTTTTTTTTAACTCATTTGAACTTTTTCCTGCTACTTCATGATTCCTATAAGTCTTATATTATTCCTCTTCGTATCATCTAGGAGTTGTTGGATTGATTTCTCATAGTTCCTGTTTTTAAGAAATCTCTTGTTTTCATAGTCACTGACCACAATCCTATCTACTATATCTGAAATTCTATCTTCACATTCGCTCATTCTGCTGCAAATGCTTTCAATAGAGTTTTTTTTTCATCTTTAATTGAGTTTATTGGTACATTTTAGGGATACAGTACAGTTACATTCATTGTTGGGATCTTGTACCTCTACATGACAAGTCTTGATTCTCATTTTTTTCCCCTTACCCTTGCCCTCTCAATAGAGTTTTTAATCTCCTGGATGACTGAATCCATTTCATGGATTCCATTTCTTTCCTGTGATGGGCATTCAAGGTTTCCATTTCTTTCCTGTGTTGGACACTCATGACTTCAGTCATGGTCCTGAGGTCATCTTTTTTTTTAATCTATTTCTTTCTAGAGTCTCTAATCATGTCTTTCATTCTTATCACTATCTCTGTGGTTATTCTGGGAATTGTTTCTGTTTTGAATTTTTCTAGAGCCTCAATTATTTGTTTTGTTATTGCCTGTACTATGAGTGCAGGGTGTCCAGATGGTTCCCCCCGAGTTTACCTTTGGTGGGGTGGAAGTCTGTGTTTCTGTCTTGTTTAAATGTCTTCTCATATTTATTTTTGTCAATGGTCCTGTCCTTGATTTACTTCTTGGTTTAATACTTCAATCTTCTAGATATAGCTGGTCTTTAGGTTTTGAATCTCTAATATCTCTGAGGCAATCCCATTGTCATTATACCAGGGAGGACAACTGATTAGATCAATCACAACACCTTAGCCCAAGTGATACAGTCAGCAACACAACAGCATCAAGCATAGTTTAGAAAATGACAATTTGTGGTAGTTATTAATCTATCACTTTTAACTCTGTGAATTAAATAAAAATCAAGGAGCAGACCAAATATGTTTATAGTGAATAAACTCTTCAATATAGCAACATTACCCTTCAGGATGGGGATTTAGAAGGAGTTTTGGAGGGAGGGGTAGATAGCTAGGATAGAGAAAGTTTAGCAGTGAGGTCAAAGGATACAGGAAGATCACACAAATTCTAGAAAGGTGTTGAAGGGAAGAGAAGACAGAATAAAATATATATACACAAAAAAAAAACAGAACAAACTGACAGCAATAGTGAGGCTAGAGACTGTAATCACTTCCTTTTAAAACTAATGGCATTGGCAGAAGGAAAAAGAGAAGAAAAGGAAACTAAAGAAAATAAATTTGAATTAGGATAGGAGAATAAACAAAAAGGAAGAGTAATGGACATCAAGGTGGGAGAGAGAGAGTGGAAAAGATAGAAGAAGAAGAAGAAGAAGAAGAAGAAGAAGAAGAAGAAGAAG